TGACACTTGGTGGGCCGGCGTAGTTCCATAATAAAGTGTTGGACGAGACTAGAGGATGAGTGTTGTTGATTCACTTTATCTCTGGTTTCTTTCTTATGTGTTGTTGTCTCTCTGTTCTGTTGTTTTCGTTATTACTGCCTTTTGTCCGAGGCTCACTGAATTTGGAAAAAAAAAAACTACTTAAGCAAATATAACGCATAAACCAAATATAACCTCATTAAACCTGGTTTATATATTCTACTATCATTTCTCCTCATATTATACAAAACTCATGATGATTTTCATAACAGGTTTTATGTAGACAAAATACCAATAAGGGAGTTCAAGAACCTCTCAAGCAAAGGCATAAACTACCCGTCAAAGCCAATGCAACTGGTGGTTAGCTTGTGGAACGGTGAGTCCTGGGCGACAGAAGGTGGTAAACGCAAGATTAATTGGAGTTATGCTCCGTTCAAAGCCAACTTCCAAGGCTTCAACAACTCTGGTTGCTTCGTGAACAATGGGGAGTTGAAATCTTGCGATTCTTCTGCGAATTGGTGGAACACCGGAAGTTATAGTAAATTAAGTGACTCCGATCAGAAGGCCTTAAAAAATGTGAAAGACAAGAACATGAACTATGATTACTGTTCTGATCGGAGACTATCTAAGGTTGTTCCTAGTGAATGTAAATGGAACAAGTGATGGCTTTCCAAAACCCTTTTATCATTATGTTCAATATTGGACTCATAATATAATTTAATAATTTATTATGTTGAAATATTCGTTAACTTTATATATGTTGTTGACAAAAAAAAAACTTTATATATGTTAATATTTTATAATGTTCAGCAAGTGATGGATATCGAAAACTCTTTTATCATCAAGCACAACACGATCTTGCCTCTTAGGAAGCATTAATTTGTTGCCCTTTGAGTCGACCCTTTAACTTGGCTTCGAGTTTGTTCCTTCAAGGATATTTTTCAGCTAAATATTTTTCCTTCCTTCTCTTAGGAAGCACTGCTTTGCTCCCCAGAACAATACTTTCTCTCATGCTATAAGCTTATAAATTTTAGAATTATGAAAAATTGCATATATTTGGTACAGTCTTGGACGAGACCACCCAACAATGACAACGGTATTTGTTTCTAATATTCAAACCAAGAATCAAGTCCAAATGTTTCAACATCTTTCTGATTCACCTTTCAAGGATGCTCGTTGGGGTTTTCCCAACTTTTGGTGGAAAATGGTTACTTTAGTTAAAAGCTATATCAAAGTTATCTTTTGGCAAGGGTGGATTATTATTATTATTCGTTTAGTTGT